GAGAGAGAGAGAGAGAGAGAGAGAGAGAGAGAGAGGAGAGAGAGAGAGAGAGAGAGAGAGAGAGAGAGAGAGAGAGAGAGAGAGAGAGAGAGAGAGAGAGAGAGAGAGAGAGAGAGAGAGAGAGAGAGAGAGAGAGAGAGAGAGAGAGAGGAGAGAGAGAGAGAGAGAGAGAGAGAGAGAGAGAGAGAGAGAGAGAGAGAGAGAGAGAGAGAGAGAGAGAGAGAGAGAGAGAGAGAGAGAGAGAGAGAGAGAGAGAGAGAGAGAGAGAGAGAGAGAGAGAGAGAGAGAGAGAGAGAGAGAGAGAGAGAGAGAGAGAGAGAGAGAGAGAGAGAGAGAGAGAGAGAGAGAGAGAGAGAGAGAGAGAGAGAGAGAGAGAGAGAGAGAGAGAGAGAGAGAGAGAGAGAGAGAGAGAGAGAGAGAGAGAGAGAGAGAGAGAGAGAGAGAGAGAGAGAGAGAGAGAGAGAGAGAGAGAGAGAGAGAGAGAGAGAGAGAGAGAGAGAGAGAGAGAGAGAGAGAGAGACTTTTCTTGTCCTCATTCGCCAATTTTACTTTTTTTTCTAGATTTCTTACCAATCTAAGATGTCCCTGGCCTTTGTCTACTTTCAAGAGACATCAATATTGAGAGACAGAGATAGAGAGATAGAGACACAATTATATCATGCTATTTCTCTACAAATACACAATACAGATTTCTACTATAATTACAGATTAAATTAGGTTTTTTATATAATTTTGAAAGGATTTTCTAATAAAATTATTGGAAAATATTCGACAAATTTATTCAGTAATAATCAATTTTTATCCAACTCAGTTTTTCTAGAACAAAACACAAAAATACTGCATATAAATTAATTAGGATTTTTTAAAATAAGTTTTGATGACACAAATTTTATGGATTTCTATATAATTTTCATATATAATTAATTCACCTCGGAAAACATTAAATATTATTTTTTTCCCAATTTAACAAATTTTCTGATTAAATTGACAATAAACATTCAATTCTTCCAATTAATTACTTTTAAATGTACTGTACTAAACCAGTAAATTGACTAATAACGGGCTTGTGATTGGTTAATAGGTATCAACCAACTATTCCCTGGCTTGCAATTGGTTAATACCAGCTACTATAGTCTATTTTTTAAAATTTTAAAAATATTATACACTAACAACAGAGGAAAATATGAAGTTGTTCGCAGTCATATTTCCTGCCTCTGTTGACGGTGTAATATTTCAATGTGATTCTGATCTTTAAAAATTTAGTTTTCGCATAATATAGTATTACTGATATGTAATTTGTCTTAGTATGCCTTATTGTGGGTAAAAATAAGTATATATTAAATGCATCCTCTGGAAGCGTGAATTTGCTACCAGAGTTTAACAGTTAATTCATGTATAATACTTCTGATAAACTTCCTACGTGCTTATGTTTAAATAATGAAGGTATGTATCTATATATAATTTAGCTAAATATCTTTCTCGTCAGAAATGGTCATCCCAACGATTATGAATAAACTCCTTTAGAAACACATCATTACTTCAGGACAAAATCGGACAGGTTTGCAACAACCAATCAGCTGTAACTTTTGAGGAGGGGCGGTGCATCTTTTCTCAGCTGGGAAAAAACACGCTATAATCTACCAATCCCTAATCATCTAAACCAATAAGGGAGTTTCTACCCAAATTCTACCAATTCGGGTGATTTTTCCCCAATTTCACCCATTTTTATCAAATTTGTCCTGATTTCATGCAATTTTATCCTGATTTCCCCAAGTTTCATCCAATTTTGCCCCAATTTTTCACTGTATAAATTTTACCCAATGTATCCCAATTTCAAAAATTTTGGTGCCAGTTTTACCCAGATTTTGTCCCAATTTAATCCAATTTCATCCCATTTTAATATTGAAAGTAGAAAAGGTATAAATGAAGATATAAGGCACATAGAATGATGGGAATGAAGAAAATTTAATATTTTTTGAAGTAAATGAAGAAATAGAAGAATGTTAAAGGAATGAATAAATTTAAAGAAATACACTGTAGAAGAAACTAGAAGTAAATTTAAGACAGTTCAGGGAAATTTTAAATTTTAGAAAATGAAGAAAGTAGAAGGAAATTAAAGAATAAAAAGTGAGGAAAGAGACGAAGTAAATCCTCCCAAAAAATTAAAAATCCATATAATTCAAAGTTTTTTTTCTTCTTTTTCCTCAGCAATTATTTAGCTTCTATGACTGAGATATATGAAGCTATCTTTTACAGTAGTAGGCAGCTACCAAACAGGGTGGTACTACCGTCTGGGAAGATATTGGTAGACCCTGCTGCCATATGTGACCAAGTCCCAGGTTGATGATCTGACTTTCTGCCTCATTTATACACAATAACAGGGTCTCAATTGTTTCTCTTACTACTGACAACACAACATACATATATTATTTCTCACTACTGATTTTTTTTAATTTTTGTATTTCTTTATGGTTCTTTATTATTATTATTATTATTATTATTACAGGTATTATTATTGTTATAATTTTATTATTTGTATTTTTGTATTTTGTATTAAAAATTTTACTTATCTGAATTATTATAATTATTATTTTTATTATTATTATTATTACGTTTTTGCCCCCCAGGCCCCGATGTGGGTCAGTGATCTGTGCCCGGGTGGGTTAATCCCCGTAAAAAAAATCTATTTTGTTTTATTTAGACATTTTAAGCTTTAAGCTATAATAAGCAAAGTCAAGCTAAGATAAGCAATCATATGTTATTTTAAGCAACAGAAACCTATATTTTAGCTTCAATCACATATAATATGGTAATTATAGCCTTATGTTTATTTTTATCTACAATTATCTACAAATAGCAAATAATTATAGCTTTTACTATATCCCATTTAGTACAGCTAATAATTATAGCTTTAACTATATCCCATTTAGTACAGCTAATAGTTATAGCTCTTACTATATCCCACTAAGTACAGTGGGGTATGCTATAATGAATCTAATTGGTTCTAGAACCTCGTTCGTTATAGCATTTGTTCGTTACAGGAATAATCCATTCCAGGCCCCCAAATACAACCACTTAACAATGAAAAATTTATGTGGAAATTGTAAGAAATACGGTACTTTATCTTACCTTAGTGTTGTTCAGCATGCAGGGCAGAAGGCAGAGATTCCCTTAGCCACTTGCACAGTTTTTAACTCCCCTTTATTCTTCAAAATCGTACATATAGTCGATTTAGCCATCCCATATTCATCACTAAGTTTCACAATGCTTGTTCCATTCTCACACTTATTTATAATTTCTTTCTTAGTTTCAAGGGTTATTAGTTTTCTCACTCGTTTTTGACGATTCATTGTTACAATTGTACACTTGTACTATAACAAAATAGTTATAAAAATAACACGAATTTCCACATCAAAAGACGAAATTTTAACAAGTTCAGTGGTGCACTGACTACACAATGAACCAATATGGCGACTGATGCTCTTACTCAGAGCCGCGGTACGATATTCGTGCGCCAGACGAAATAGTCCCGTATTCATCCGTTTTCATTGTAGGAGTTTTGTTCGTTATAGCATTCTCAATTTTAAAGGTAAAACCGTTCGTTATAGGAATATTCGTAGTAGAATCCGTTAGTTATAGCATACCCCACTGTACAGCTAATAATTATAGCTCTTTTACTATATAAAGCTTCATTCAGCTTTTAAATATAGCCTCTAGTTATAGCTTTTTAATTATATTAACCTAATTATAGCCATAGATTACAGCTTTTTTACAATATTGTGTCAAAAAGAGGCTTAGGGATTAGCTTTTTCACTTTATAAGGTTAACTATAATCACCTAAATATAACTCTTAAATCAGGCTTAATCTGGAATACATATGACTGAATCTGGATTAAATCTACTGTAGTGTATTTCTGGCCTAATCTGGGTAAAATTTGACGAATATGGATTAAACCAGACCTAATCTGGGTAAATAAAAACTGACAATCTGGGTTAAACCTGACAAATCTGGGTAAAAAAAACCTGGGTTAAATCTGACTCAACTATAATAAAATTAAAATCTGTTGCTATAATTTATGCCAGGAGAAAATAGCCACACAAACGTAAATGCAAAAGAAAAATTAATTTACAAAATTGTAAAAATGTAAACAAGGTCCTTTACACGTAAGACTGAAATATTTACAAGCCTATAATAATGTGAAAGGCATAATTTACATGACCATTACCATATGAAATCCCCAATTTACATGCAAATACACTTTTAAACAAAAAACTTAATCTTACCAACTCCATATAACTGTAAAAAACCAGTTGTCTTCTAATATCTCATTTACAAGAGCAGTTACAATTACAATGCCCAATTCACATGTAAAACTGACGCAGGGCCTAATTTCCATCCTAAGACCTTATTTACAACCTAAGGGAAATGTAGTGTATCTGTAAAACACCAAATTTACAAGCCAGTTTCCATCTAAAACAATTTACCTACCAAAATCAATCTACAAGCTAACCTTACCTCCAAGCACCCAATTTCCTACTAAAAACACTAAATCTATTATCTATTTTACATCCAAACTCCTTATTTATACCCAATTTACATGTAAAAAAACAAAATTTACATCCAATAGGGCTTATTTTCTCTGTTTTATGGGTTTTTAAAGTAACATCACCACTTATATATTAAAATACCCCCATTTTATAACATTATATACATTAAAAACCGAATTTCAAACTAAAAATCCCAAGTCATGACCAAATTTACCCTAATCTCTACTAAAATAACCAACCTACCCCAAGATAACCCTAACACCCAACTTTCATGTAAAACACCCAACAGACAATCAAATATACTTGTAGAGCACCCAATTTATGACAAAATTTACAAGTTAAACACTCCATTTAAAACCTAATCTAAGCCCCAATTTACAGGTAAAATACTCCATTTACGAACCAACTTACACATGAAACAGACAGTGTACTGTACAGGTAGACGCTCTTACCTTCTGTGTCTTGATTGACTCGTCACTCTCCCAGGTATTGTGTATATGGGCCCAACCTTTCCACTTAATGAGGTATTGCTTCTCCACCTGTTCTGGGTCGCTGGGGTCAAAGTTTGTGTTGGGGTCACCGTTTTTTTCCACCTCGTAGATGTATGTTTGCATCCCCACGGCTGTAAGAGGACACACTGAGGTTATTGTTTCTCTAGCTATCTGTCTGTTCTCTACACCTTAATATATAGTCTGTTAGATGTGAAACTTCCATCATCTAACAGATTATATGGAGGTCTGTTAGGTTAGGTTAGATGCATTATCCCCCACTACACAATAAGAACTCTCACACCATCCTCCACTCACCGCCCTTCTTCCCACACCGGTGTTCCAGGACTCTCTCGATCGTGTGGGCATTTTCCTGCTCCTTCGCTACCGCCTGCGACCAATCCACCTCAATCATGTCCTCCTCGTCCTCCTCCTCTTCCTCACTCTCGGCTTCCTTGTAGCTCACCTCCTTGGCAGCACGATTTGACCCTCGTCTGTTAGAGTGTAAACCAGGCATTGTTTAATCTACCTATTAAAATACCTATACTGTATACCTAAATCATTATTTCTCTATCATACACTCGCTCTCTCTCTCTCTCACCTCTTAGTACCACCCTCGCTCTCGCTCCCATCACTACTCGACCGATGGTGTTTCTTCTGAGATGATTTTTTCTTCGATGACGACGATGAATTTGATTTCTTGCTGCTGGGGGCTGGCTTGCGGCGGGGTTTGGGGGAGTCATAGTCGGAGTTGTCGCTGTCTGACCCATCCGAGCTGTTCCACTGGCTACAACAGGAGAGAAATTTGCCAATAAGAATGGTTGTAGAAATATTTGGTTAGGGTAGGTTAGGTTACATCATGTTATGTTATGTTAGGATAAGTTACATCATGTTAGGTTAAGTTAGGATGGTGACACCATGTTAGGGCAGGTTACATCATGTTAGGTTAAGTTAGGATGGTGACACCATGTTAGGGCAGGTTACATCATGTTAGGTTAAGTTAGGATGGTGACACCATGTTAGGGCAGGTTACATCATGTTAGGTTAAGTTAGGATGGTGACACCATGTTAGGTCAGGTTACATCATGTTAGGTTAAGTTAGGATGGTGACACCATGTTAGGGCAGGTTACATCATGTTAGGTTAAGTTAGGATGGTGACACCATGTTAGGTTAGGTTACATCATGTTATGTTATGTTAGGATAAGTTACATCATGTTAGGTTAAGTTAGGTTACATCATGTAATGTTATATTAGGATAAGTTACATCATGCTATGTTATGTTAGGATAAGTTACATCATGTTAGGTTAAGTTAGGATGGTGACACCATGTTAGGTCACGTTACATCATGTTAGGTTAGGTTACATCATGTTCTGTTATGTTATGTTAGGTTAGGTGACATCATGTAAGGTCAAGTTACATCATGTTAGGTTAGGTTGGTGACACCATGTTAGGTCAGGTTACATCATGTTAGGTTAGGTTATATATATGGTGTTAGGTTACATTGTTAGGTCAGGTCAGGTTAACATACCTCTTCCTCTTGCTGTGTTTCTGTGAGTTATCTTGGTGTTCCACCTTCATGCGGTCTGGCTCCTTCCTCTCCCGGGCTGACCGTCTGATGCCATATATGTCCGGGTTCTCCTCCCATAACTGTAGGGAAGTCTGTTCTAAGTTATACTTGAAGTGCCACCTCCAGTAAAACTTGAAAACATGGTATCACAAGAGAGAGAGAGAGGAGAAAGAGAGAGACACCACTAACCGGTTTCGTCTCCTGTTTCCCTCCCTTCCGAGAATGACCGCCTCTGCTGCTACTATTGGACGAACTGCCCGAACGATCATTATCCTCATCGTCCTCTTCCTGGTCTTCCTTTTCTTCCTCCCCCTCTTCTCCTTCCTCTTCCTCGTCATCCGATCCTGATTGTTTGTTATCGGAGTCAGAATCCGAGTTCTGCGACGTGTCTGATGAACTGGCCGATCCCGATCCACTGTGGGATAATGGTGGTGTTAGTTTGTCAGTGTCTGTCTGTCTGTCATAAAGTAACAACAGTAAAAAATATAAATGAAACATCATAGACAAACGTATAAGCAAACACAAACAGTAAGACCCCTCTAAGTTGGAGTCACTTAACCCCCCCCCCCCCTCCCTATAAGTCAGACGATCACTGCTACAACACACACACACACACACACCCTGACTGTTATCTGTGACACTGGACTGAAGCACAGTAAGTACTTTTAAAAATATCACCCTGCAATTGTGTGTAAATGAGGCAAAAAGTTAGATCATCAACCTGGGATTTCGTCACATGGCAGGAGGGTCTACCATTAGACAACACATTATGCTTCCAATATCTTCCCAGGTGGTAGTACCTCCCTGTTTGGATAGATTAAGTTAGCATTAGGGTAGTTCATTTTTCAATAAAATAAGCTGGGATGGAGATTCTTCTGGTGATTCAATACTTCAGTAATATGATGTTGGAAAGCAGCCAGGGGGAAGATCACCCATATGTAGGAATTCTAGATGTCTGCAGCCCCATATACAAGTAGGCTGACTTAAAAGATCTTACTGTACGGATATACACACACACCCGTATGTAAACACAAGAAAAATGTAAAGAAATACCCTTGTACAGACAAACAAATACAAACAGTCATCAACATAAACAAACAAAACTTAAACAAAAACAATCACAAACAAAAACAAATAACAACATAAACAACCAAACATAAACACAAATATAAACAATCACAAACAATCAAACATCAACAAAAAACAAACATGAACATAAATAAACATAAACCTAAGCATGAACATAAACAAACACAAAGCTAAACAACAAAGACATAAACAAACATTAAGACACAAGACACAAACCTGCCACTTCCACTACCGGAGTCAGAGTCACTGCACGCCCCAGACTTGCTCTCATTCTCGTTATTGTCAGATTCATTGTCGTTGTCGCCACCACTGCCTGAACCCGACCGCTCTTCCTCCTCAGTGTCGGACCCGCTGTCTTCACCGTGCTGCTGAGAGTAAATATATAAATGTAGGATTAACACACACACACACACACACACACACATAAATTTACAATTCAAATGCAACAAATAGAAAAATTTATCAATCCATCTATATTACAGGTACTCCTCGACTTACGACCACCTGGACATACAACCGCCTCAGTTGTATAAAATATTTTTCAAATTACGTATTTTCGAGTCCCGGCGTTAGTGATCGCGCTGTGTACTGACAAAAAAAAATTTGTAATTCACTTTAAAATGGCTGGCAAGCTTAAAAGTGAGAGTTCTCGTGGTGCTGAGAAGAAAAAGACACTCATTTTAGATTTTCTATGTATTATTTTCACATTTTCAACTTACAACCTGGTCGTCGGGACGGAACCCCATCGTAAGTCGTGGTTATTATAATCATGGTCGTGTTATAATCATGGTTGTGGTTGTTATAATCATGGTCGTGGTTGTTATACTCATGGTCATGGTTGTTATAATCATGGTCGTTGTTGTTATAATCATGGTCCTGGTTGTTATAATCATGGTCATGATTGTCACAATAAGGGTCGTACCTGAGACTAACACAGGTAGAATAAACCCCACAGCTAATCTTTAATCTCAATAAACCTAGATTAACCTCACCTGATCAACAGGATTAGAGACCATTAGGATTGTACCATCAATACCGATACATTTCACACTGGATTAATAATAAATTTAATCACATTTCCAATAGCTAATGTCTTACGGATACTTTAAGTATCTAGTATACTATAGGAAGGACTAGAATAAAGGTTAGAATAATTAGTTAAAGAAATATTTGCCATAAGAGGTTAAAATCCTAAAAAAAAAATGACCTTGATTTTGGTTAGATTAGTTACCATCTGCTAGAGTCATCACCTGTGTTAAGTCATCATAGTCATCATCTACGTTAGTCAGTTTTAGGCCCATCTCACATGACTGACCGACCATCGATGTTCTTTCCATGCGAGGGTGTTAGTTTTCAATGCGTCTTATTATTTATGCTGGTGGATGTAAGACCTCCTACCCTCACTGATGCAGCTATGGTCAATTTGGTGTTATTCTTGTTTAAAAATGCCTTCTAATCTGTCTCAAGTCTATCCGTCCTGTCTATTGCCATCCCAACTGTCTGTTCGTCTGCGTGGTGTTTGACTGTAAACCCGTCTGTACTCTTTGTGTCGTCAAATCTGTCTGTCTTATCCATTGTTGGCATACGTCTGCCTGTTTGTCTAATGTGAACCAGTCAGTCAGCTGTCAACCTGTCTGTCTGTCATGTTAGTTGACATATTGTCTATTTGTGCATGTATGAATTTGTCTATTTTTTGTCAACCTCCTGTCTGCTTCACTGTCTATATTCACCCTGTGCCTATTGTAGTCATGTCTTTCTGTCTTTATGTACAGGTATGTGTCTGTCTTATATGTTGTCTTTGTCTTTCATAAGTCTGTCTGTCTGTCTGTATTTCTGTATCCTTGAATCTGTCTGTATTATGTCTTCTGTCTGTATTTCTGTGTGTCCTTGAATCTGTCTGTATTATGTCTATGTCTATGTCTTTTGTTTGTCCGCTTCTCTCTCTCTCTCTCCATTTTTATCCGTACTAACTCTATCTTTATTTATATATCTCTATGTCTCTCCATTACACTACTCATCATATTTAGCACTTTTCTTCCTTATTAAATAGGTGATTTTAATATGATATTCTGGGAACTTTAAAAACACATCCCTCCATTCATACCTCCACCTCTCACTATCCCTCGCTTCCATCTCCTTTCCTAGCTCGCCTATTAAGGATAATAATTCTTCAGTCTCTCTTCTTCTCCCTTTCTATCTTCTCCATGCATTCATGTTATTATCTTTTTATCTCTTCCCCTTTTCCATGTACAGTCAGCCACAGAAATAAGTATACACTGTAGCCTCATAAGGTCCGAAAATGCTCTGGTAACGTTGAAACTGCGCATCCAGACGCATGATGAAACTCAGCTCCCCCCACCTGTTATCTCTAACTATTTTCTGTTTCCCCTTCTTTTTCTTCTATTTACTCATCTTTCTTCCTTTACTAATCCAAACAACATTGAAAAAAAGTAGGCTAAGAGAAAAAGTGTGGGGAGGAGGGAGCCATACGATAACTGCAATCGTCCGGCCGGCAGACAGATACAGCGACATCTTTTGCCAGTGTAAATAAAATCGTTAATTAATGCCTTGCTAAAGAAACCATCGACATGTGACCAGGTTTGTTCCACTCTACGATTTTTTTGCGATTTTTCCACCAAGTTTGATGAAAAACGATTGTGCCGTTTCGGCTGCCCAGAACTGACAGACAGACAGACAGACAGCTAGTCCTATAGTATATTAGATAAAGCTTTTCCAGGAACATAACCCTTTCATAAATTGAAGCACTCCAGTATATATTTTATCTGCAAGGAATAGCTGCTTCCACGCTCAAACTATTCTCAGGGTGACGTGATACAGCTGGGCAGTCACCCAAGTGACTCACATCAGAGTCAGGAGGGAAGGAGCACAGCTGGACTGGTGAGTCAGCTATGCACTTAACAGTTACAGGTCTCTGCCTCCACAAACATTCATTTCCTACACACATACAACCATGATCTTCACTTTTCTTATTAATAGTTTTATATTATATATATATTTCCTTTGCTTCTAAGCCATAATAGAGTATTGGCATTTCTTTTATAACATTACTGTTGTCTTTTAGTGTCTCTCTGTTATGAATAAGTGTTAGAATTAAGGTTGCGGACCTCCAGAAATGATTGTGGAAACATCCTCATAAGATTAACAATTCACTTTGTGCTAGGTAACCAAATAAAGCCAGGGTCGGGTGTATACTGTATGACCGAAATTACGAATTGAAAAATAACGATAACGCCCTCACAGTCTAATTTGACAACACTACTGCCAGCGATGTTAACAGATGCAAACGGTTAAGAAAATTATCTATAAAATGTTCATTTGTATCAAGCACAGTATTTGTAGATACAGTACAGTACTGCGCTGTATTATGTGTAAATATAAATATTGCAGGTTTGATATTTATACTACTGTATACAGGTAGATAGTAATGCTTGTAATAGTTCAGAAACAGTTATTGTTTAGCTCTGAAGAGATGGGTGCCTGTTGTACAGACACTTATCATTTAGGGCAGTGGTTCCCAAACTTTTTTGGTCTCAACCCCATATACAATCTTGTCCTGACGGGTACATGTAGTGTTAATTATTAATCATTTTGATATGTTGTGTTTATTCATATATTTTCACTTAATTAGTTAAATTACTAACACATAATGAATTTCAATAAGTTTTTAATTGGACGAAATGAAAAACACAAATTTTCATGAAAATGAGACTTTATTACATAATTCAGTAGCTTTGGTGACAAAATCAGAAATTGCAGTGACTAACGTGCTGCTGCTTTATTCTTGGAGCTCTTTTGGGTTTTGATTGTATGGTGATAAACTTTAATTATAAGAATATATTAAGAACTTTTTTTTTATCAGACAAATGAAAAGTACTGTTTATGTAACCATCTATTTTACTATAATGGCAAACTAGCATAGCAAGGAGAGAAAAATACAATATAATACTTCTTAGCACGAGAAAAAAAGCATGCACTCGTGCGCTCAAAACCAAAATGTCAGCATCTTTAGAGCAGTCTCCAGTGCTTGCTTCTTCTTGCATAGAAAATTTTCAATTTCAGTTTTTAGTTCAATAACTCTTCCACAAATCTTCCCTCAAGAGAACCAACGGACATGAGAGTGGAACGGCAAGACCTGGTGATGTGATCCCACATCTTCACACAAATACGTGAGTTTAAAACCCCAGCCTTGGCATAATTCACAATCTGGATAGCATCATTGAGAACTACACGGAGATGAGGTTACAAACGTTGAGAGGCAATGTTTCCCCGATGTAAGAAACAGTCAATTAATGTGACATGAAGGTTTTCTGCTTTAACACAACAAAACCCACACGACTTCCCATCATAGATGGGGCTCCGTCGGTGCACACAGCCAAACAGCGTAGATCATGTTTCTTGAAAAAAAATTTCAACATATTAAAGATGTCTTCTCCAGTGGTGGTACTTGACAGGGCATTGCCAAAGCAAAATTCTTCCACAACTATTCTAATAAAATTAGTATTTCAATAATTCGTCATATTGTGCCAGTGACATGATCCTATTATAATACAGTATTGCAATATTTCATAATTTTGCCTGAAGTGATAAAAAAATATAACACTAATGTCTGAGCTTTTGTTGAAATTTGTTATGTTATGAAACATTGCATTTGCATGAAAGATAATACTGTACAGTGGTCCCTCGGTTAACGAGCACAATTCGTTCTAGAAGGTTGCTCGTTAACCGAAACCATTGTTTCAATGGGTTTTTGGGTAATTGGTTCCAGCTCACCGAAAATTGCCTAAATTCAACAAAAAAGGTAGTAAAGTACACTTACTTTGAGGTGTGTATGTAGAAGGCTCCTGCATTATATATTGTCAATATGTAAAATAAACTTCAGAATGACCAATAATTGTACTGTAAAAACGTAAAAATAGTTTATGTTCAAGAGTCTCAAGCAAGAAGCTTCCTCCACTGAGCAGGGACACACACCAACGCCATTTTGGGTGTGTTGAGTGGCTGTTTGGCGAGCTAAAAACTAGTTCCCTGTACTTCAATTATGTTAAATAATTGTTAAAATTACTAAAAAATTTAATATAAGACTTGGAAAATTATTGAATAGTACAACCTTCTTGATATTTACTCAAATGGTAACAAATTTAAGCCCTAAAACCGATTACTGTATTGGTGGACTAATACTACAGCTGGTGAGCAGGCAAAAACATGTTGGGAAAATTTTTTAAGGAATTCGTTAACCGAAGTGAAGAATCTTATGGAAAGTAATTCGTTAACCGGGGCGTTTGTTAACCGAGGGATCACTGTACAGACAAGAGCCCTATGGGAATGGCGCTACCTCCTCTCCTATGGA